TTACTTCCACCAATCTCGATCCCTGTGATGGGGCTATACTGCCCTCGTGTGGTATATCTATCTATCTATCTATCTATCTCCTGCCCAGGAACTTTAAACCAGAAATCTGCACACTTGCTGTGTAAAGGGGCCAGATAGGAAATATTTATTTTACATTTTTGAGGGTCATATGGTCTTTGTCACAGCTACTCAGCTGTCTTGTAGAGTGCACTCCGCTGTGGCTCTCCCAGGGAAGCTGCGCCACGGACACGGCTTTCCACACTGGAAATACAGGCGTGGAGCCACAGGTGGCGACTCGCGGAATTACAATTACCCTAACCAGTCGCAACTTAAAAACCCCAGGCGAGTATGTGTGCTGACTTTGATCAGAGGCGCAAAGGAAAGGAATCTCAAAGTGAAAAGACCAGTTTGGATCCCTACCAAGATTCTGAGGATCGATAAGAGAAAAACTTGTAGTGAAGATTCCAGGACTGGGGAGAAAGAATCCCAAGATGAACCACGTTAGAATTCAGGCGAGAATCTGCAAGCGACACACTGACTTGCACAGAATTTATGAGACTGTAAAACAGATTACTTCCGTCAGTATTGAGCCAGGTGTTGAAATTGAAGTCATCGCTGCTTGCAAAAAAAAAAAAAAAAAGTAGGCCTGGTCTTTTGCTTGTGCTTGTAATCATAGCACTCTGGGAGGCTGAGGCAGGAGGATGTCTTGAGCCCAGGAGTTTGAGGTTGCAGTAAGCTAGGCTGACACCACTGCACCATAGCCCCGGTGAAAGAGTAAGATTCTGTCTCAAAAAAATAAAAAATTAGCCACAGATAATACATAAATAGGCATGTCTGTGTTCCAATAAAACTATTTATAAAAATATGTAGGGGTCAGATTTGGCCTACAGCCTCTGGTTCGCTGGGCCTTGGTCTAAACCTGTGGTTCTCAATATTTGGGCTGAACAGGCCTAACATTAAGGTTGCCTGGGGATTGTTTCTTTATGTCACCCAGGTTGGGCTTGTACTTGGAACTCTGGTCCCAAGGGGTTTTAGCTTCCTGAGCAGCTGGATCTACTGGTGTGTGCCAGATCAGTTTTCTGGGTGTTTTTTAAAAATAATGTGGGTGCCTAGGCTCCACCTCAGACTGAATAAAAAACTTTGGATATGGGGTCTGGTCACTGGTACTTCATAAAATTCCACCAGGAAGTCTATTGTACAGTCAAAGTTGAGAACTACTGAATTTAAAATTAAAGTGCAGCCCACATTTTTGAGTACTCATTACAAGCCAGGTGCTGAGCTAAGAGCTTTCCATGTACTATATTATTTCATTTAATCCTCACAACTACTATGAATTAGGAGCCATTTATTTTGCCTGTTTTATAGATAAGGAAACTGAATTTTGGTGAGATTAAGTAATTTGCTCAAGGGTCATATAGTTTTTTTTTAATTTTTTTTATTTTTGAGACAGAGTCTCGCTTTGTTGCCCAGGCTACAGTGAGTGCCGTGGCGTCGGCCTAGCTCACAGCAACCTCAAACTCCTGGGCTCAAGCAATCCTGCTGCCTCAGCCTCTGAGTAGCTGGGATTACAGGCATGTGCCACCATGCCTGCCTAATTTTTTCTATATATATTAGTTGGCCAATTAATTTCTTTCTATTTATAGTAGAGACGGGGTCTTGCTCTTGCTCAGGCTGGTTTCGAACTCCTGACCTCGAGCAATCCGCCCGCCTCGGCCTCCCAGAGTGCTAGGATTACAGGCGTGAGCCACCGCGCCTGGCCTAGGTCATACAGTTTTAAGAGGAAGAACAGTGATTCAAACCCAGACATCTGCCTCTAGAGCCTGAGCTTCCTATCACTAGAGTACTCTATTTGTTATTATTATTACTATTATTTTTTTTAAAGATATAGGATCTTAATATATCACCCAGGCTGGTCTCAAACTCCTGGCCTCAAGTGATCCTCTCAACTCAGCCTCATGAGTAGCTGGGACTATAGACATGAGCCACCAAGCCAGCTATTATTATTTTTAACTGAAAAAACTCAGTCTCTCTACCTGAAATCATTAAGAAATTAAAAAAAAAAAAGAAAAAGAAAACACTCAGTGTCTATCTGAATGTAACTAGATAAACTATTTTTTACCATATACTATACTTAAAATAAGGCATATAAAGGTAGTCACAAGCAGTTTTCCCCAGATTTAATGTACTTATTCTAGTGCCATTGAATTTTCATTTTGAGTCAGTTTCTTCCCAGACCTTGTCCACAGTTTGGCACATCATAGAAATCTATTGTTAAGTACCCTTTCAGTTTGTTTTCTATGTTTCAGATTTACTTCAACTTGGCCACTGTTTGATTCCACATCTGCTAGGCTATCAATATTAAAGGCAAAGGTTCAGTATGACTTTCTTCATTTTAGAGGCATTGTAATATAGTGGATTTTTAAATATATGACCTTTGAAGACAGGCTTCAGTTTAAATTCTGGTCCTGCCACTTGTTAAGTATCTGATCATCTTCTAGCCTTTTAATCAACTGGAATGCGCTGTCTTGCTTCTGACTCCCCCATATATTCTCTCTTCATGCTGTAGAAGCAAAAAGGAATTAGTTACCTATGGTGTTTTTAAATAATAACAGTTACAACTTTATCAGCACAAATAACAATAGCTGACATTTTTTGAATGCTTACTAAATGCTTTTTATGAGTTAATTCATTTAATTATTTCAATAACTCTGTGAAGTAGGTTTTATTATCGGCAAGGAAACTGAGGCCCGGAGAGGTTAAGTAACTTTTCCTAAGTCACACAGATAATAAGTGGCAGAAGCAGGTTTTGAACCCAGGCAAGTCTGACTTTACAATCTGTACTCTTTACCACTTTTAAAACATTGCTTTATTATTCTAAGCTGCCTCCAATAGGAAATTCTACTGTCATATATTTATTCAAATCAGAAGGAATGATTTTCCAATGCCTCCAAAGCAATGGTTGCCAGGCTTTAGGATTTCACAGGGTATTAAAATTTAAAAGAAGATGCTAGCAACCAACATAGATTTGCTACTTTTAAGTCTTAACAAGAAAGGATCTTAAAAAGCAACCCCCCACCATCATTTACCATTAGCTCAAAATAAAGGACAATTTGATACCAAAAAAAGCAAGAGTGGACATAATCTAGAAAGATAGCATCCTAACACTACATGCATTCATGTATTGTCCTTAAAATTTCTCACTTTTCTGAGAACAAAGATTTTAGAATAACATTTTCCTTCTACCTTCTTCCTTATAGCTAGGTTAAGCCACATTTGTATTTAAATATAATGACAATTTTAGTAACTTTTACAACTTGTCTTTCTAGAAAGAACCTATATTCTTGGGTCTGGAAATTAACAGCATCATTAATTAAAATTTTTTTCTTTTTGTTTTTTTTCCCCTAGGAGACCATGTTTGGAAAAAGTTTTTGCTTTTTAATAAAAGGTGGAATAAAAGATCTATGGTTAACCAGGAAGAGTGCATGGAAAAAAAAAAAATCTATGGATCTTTTGTTCCAGTAAAGTGGCCAAAGGACTTAGAGTCTGAGTCTGAGAAGAGTCTGAGAAGCCATCTTTTTAGTCTTAATATTTTGAAAGATGAAATAAACAGTTTTGGGAACTAGCTCTTCTCTCATCCAAGGCATTTAAACAGTAATTACACTATTGAATAATGAGAGAATATTTCAGTTAAAACCTTTAAGTGTTTGATAGTGACAGTGTTCTAATAGGGCTTATGTTTCTTGTACTTCTGATTCTCTCCAGAGTCCAAATGCTTGAGCATTTTCAATGCAGGTGTGGGTTCCAGGTGCCACATGAGTAGAAATCTATATGCACATGGGCCTCATGAATTTTTTATGGTAACATTGTAAAATGAGAAGGCTCAGTGCTTTCCATATGCATTTTGAACTTGACTACAAACATGAATTACATATACATGGAAAAATTATTTGAAACAATTTTATAGTTATTAAATAGTCTATTAAAACCTTGTTTCATGTTATAACTTTAAAGAAATTAAATTTGATTATTTCATGATTACAACCAATTATATTGTTTCAATTATAATTCCTAATTGATTCAAGCTCATTAGCACGACCCCTGTAGTAGTCTGTTCCCTAATGTTAGTAAAAGGCCAGCAGTTTTCTCCCAACGAACTTCTATATATTAGCTAATTAGATTAAAAATAGGAGTCTCCTTCTTTTTTTCAATTTAATGACACAGAGAACAATGGAGTCTGCTTCCAAATACATATCTTAGGGTGGCACTCTCTGATGGATCCAGCAGATTGAATACCTGGGCCCTCAGTACTGTTTCTCAAACCAGGGATTATCACCCCCCTGGAGCTGCAGGGAAGTTAGAAAGATAACGGAGAACATAACTCAAGGATACCAAATAACTTCTTATTCCTACTGGTGATACTAGCCTAGGTTCCTGCGCCTCCTTCACAGTACCTTAACTTTCACTCAATGACTCACTTCTCTCAATGCAAAGGAAAGACGATATTCTTTTTTCATCAATCCTTCTGATATTTGGGGGATGGTGACCGATTGAAAAACTTTTAAGTACTCCTTCTTTTGAGAATTCAGACATTTATAGCTCCCGTAAAAGAAATTTGAGCGAAGACTCTTAGAGACCCATGTTGGAATAGCAGGCGCTGAGCACCAGCGAGATAGCACGAAGACGATGTATATGCATTTGGGTGCTGAAGTGGACCTGCAGTGTGGACAGAGGCGTTAGAAGAATCCGGGAGACCAGGATGTAAACGCTCAGTTCTTGTCAAAGCAGGTGTGGGTTCCGGGTCTGAGACACCAATCACCTTACAAGAGGTACCACAAAAGCCGACACCACCCAGTAAAACAACACTCTATATCCGTCTAGAATCCAGACCCAGCTTCGTCCGCGGGCGCCGAATGATGACGCATGCCCGGAGCCTGGAGGTGATTGGTTTCCGAAGAGGGGCGTCGGCCACCAGCGCGACTTGGAATCCTGGCCTAAATCCTCGCGAGAGCAGCAGCCTCCGGTGAGGGATGGCCGCGGAGCCGGGCGGAGCTGGCCTGCGGCTCCCGGGGCAGGCTCACCGGCTCGAGACATGGCCCGGGGTCCCGGCCCGCTAGACCGGCCTCGCCCCGACGCGGTCGCCATGCCCAAGAGAGGAAAGCGACTCAAATTCCGGGCCCACGACGCCTGCTCCGGTCGAGGTGGGCAAAGGGGCAGGGACGCTCAAAGACTAGGGTCTAGTGGCGGGAAGGGGCTGGACCGTGCCGTGCCGAGCGCTCTCCTGCCTGCGGTGTGAGGGCGGCTCGGGCCCGGGACCTAGAGCGAGGAGGGGAAGGGGAAGGGGAAGGCGGGGAAGACACTGAAGAGAGGCCTCTTCCTGGAGGGTTGGTGCTGTGTTTCAGTGACCGTGGCGGATTATGCCAACTCGGATCCGGCAGTCGTGAGGTCTGGACGAGTCAAGAAAGCCATCGCCAACGCTGTGCAGCAGGAAGGTAAGCGTTCGGTGAGCCTTTTAAGGCTCAGGCCTAGGTGTTTTATTTTCACGGGATTCTGCCTCAGTGTTCTCCTTGCAGTCCTCTGGGCATCTTCCCATAAACATGTTTGCTTTTCTCAATGTTTACTCATACGTTGGGGGTGGGGGAGGATTAGCCAAGAGTAGCAGAAATATTTTATTTTTGCCTTTGCATTTAAAAAAATGTTTGTATACTCTTTTTTAAGTTTTCACTCCTTTCTTCTTGGGCAGTAATCTCTTTCCTGTAGTTCACGTATGTTTTACTCTGCAGTTTGCTTCCTTGTGTAAATAACCTTGGAGTGCTCTTTACCTTTTCTGGTGTTTTTCTGGCTTTCAAGCTTTTTATGCATGGGTCCCCAGGACATGTATTTTATGACACAGTCTCCAGCCTAGTACCAGGGTTAAATTGGATCCAATTTCTCTTACACATTGCTCCTCAGAACTTATGAGAATACAACTCAACCTTTTGTTTTATCCTGCAGGGTTCATAGTGGAAGAATTATGCACTCCCTTCAGTGCTGAAGTCAGCACTTTTAAGGAGTCTTTTGGTCCATTGCTTTCCAATTTTTTGTGTTTAATATACTAAAATTTCTTCTTTTTTTTTTTTTTTAAACTTGGTGACAGAGTCTCAGCTTTCTCTAGCAGACTCACATTTTTTTTTTTCCCCTTTTCCTTATGGCTGCTGGTATCTTGGCTAAGTTGTTTGTATTTCTGGGTGGAACTGTGTGCCATCTCATTCTCCCTTATTTTCTTCTAGTAAAATCTCTTTGTGGCTTGGAAGCTTCCCAGGTTCCTGCAGAGGAAGCGCTTTCTGGGGCTGGTGAGCCCTGTGACATCATCGACAGCAGTGATGAGATGGATGCCCAGGAGGAAAGCATCCATGAGAGAACCGTCTCCAGAAAAAAGAAAAGCAAAAGGCACAAAGGTAGGAGGGCTTGCTCTCTTTTGGCTTGTTAGTCCTGTCTATGGTGATAAATTGAAGCTGTTACTTTCTCAGTAGCACAAAGGGAGATGTAAGAAGCAACACCAGGGGAGTTTGGAGAAAACATGGCTCTCAACTAAAATCTTGGTAGTGGGACAGGGTTTAACACTCTTGAGCTTTTTGCTTTTGTCTAAATTTAAAAGGGAAGGAATTGGTAAGAGTTAGTAGATTCTGGAGCTGTGAACTGGACATTCATTGAGTACATGTTATTATTAGGTAAAAACCCACATAGCAATGTGAAAACAAAAAGCCTTTGCATTTCTGGATTTCTGAATGTGTAAGGAGGCAGAGATATGATGAAAAAATGTTTCCCCAAATATGTGGATTTTATGAAACCAGTTTTATTTCACATAAACTTAGATATTATCATGGGCTTTTAAATGTTCTGCAGTTATTAATGTCTGTTTCATGTCTAATAGGTACTGTGGGAAATAGAAAAGTATGTGATGTTTAGGTCTTAATGGTGATAATACTTATACAAATGAAACAAAGAATAATAAACTGATATTATATAACATGCCAAACCATCATTCAGGTTCCATATTTTGCTCTGGACTTAATGAGTCAGAATCTTTTGGAATTCTTAAAACTAAAGTGGTTCTGATGATCAGCTAGGTTTAGGGGGAAGCTGATAAGTAATAAATGATGTGTGTATTTTTGGTTTCACCTCTACTTGAGAATCAGGTGACAGATATTTATATATGTTAGTATATATTGAAAGAATAAATTAATGAACTGAGATTGCTTTACAGTTATATCAGTTATTGCCAGTGATATCTCTCTTTCAGGATCCAAACATTAACGTAGTTTGAGCATTCCAAATACAAAATCCAAAATGCTCCAAAAGCTGAAATTTTTTGAGCACCAACATGATGCTCAAAGGAAATGCCCATTGGAGCATTTTGGATTTCTGATTTTTCGATGAGGGATGCTCAACTAGTAAGTATAATGCAAGTATTCCAAAATCTTGAAAAAGCCAAAATCTGAAACATCTGATTCCAAGCATTTCGGATAAGGGGTACTCAACCTATATTGACATTCTTCACACTTGTTTGTCCTTAATTTCTCACTTAAAATCCATGCTTACCATCACTATTCTATTAGGGAATTGTCTTGGGGTTTTAAAATTTTTTTTGGATACATTCTCCTCAAATTTTTTGTTAAAAAAATCTTTATTGAGATAGAGTTCATTCATTTAAATTGTACGATTCAGTGGTTTTAGTTTGTTCACAGAATTGTGTACCCATCAACATGATCTAAGTTTAGAACATTTCCAAAAGAAATCCCATACTTATTAGCATCCCTCTTCATTCCCTCCCAAACCCTGTCCCCAACCCTGGGTAACCACTAATCTACTTTCTGTCTTTATAGATTTACCTATTCTGGACATTTCATATAAATGGAATCATATGATATGTGGTCTTTTGTGTCTGACTTCTTTCCCTTAGCTAATGTTTTTAAAGTTCATATTGTAGCATGTATTAGTATCTTATTCCTTTTTATTGTCTTTTGTTTGTCTATTATGAATAATGCTGCTATAAATATTCACATATAGGTTTTTAAGTGGATGTATACTTTCATTTGGTTAGGTAGGAGTGAAATTACTGGATCATATGAAAACTCTGTTTAACTTATTTTGGGGAATTGCCAAACTGTCTTACAAAGTGGCTGTACCATTTATATTCCCACCAGCAATATATAAGTGTTCCCATTTTTGCACATCCTCACCAACACTTGTTATTGTCTGACTTTTTAAGTTGTTTCCTTTTTTTAAATGTAGATTTAAAGTTTTAGAGATAGGATCTTACTTTGTCACCAGACTGGAGTACAGTGGCACAATCATAACTCACTGTAACCCTGAACTCTTGGGCTCAAGTGATCCTCCTGCCTCAGCCTCCCAACTAGCTAGGACTACAGGTGTGTGCCACCATGCCTAGCTAATTAAAAAAAATTTTTTTTTTTGTAGAGACGGGGTCTTGCTATGTTGCTCAGGCTGGTCTTGAACTCGTGGCCTTAAGTGGTTCTCCTGCCTCAACCTCCCAAAGTGCTGGAATTACAGGCATGAACCACCCAGCCTGGCCTGAATTTTTAAATTATAGTGGATGTGAATGGCAAATGATGTTGAGCATCTTTTCACGTGCTTTTTGGCCATTTGTGTATCTTCCTTGGAAAAATGTCTATTCAAATCCTTTGCCCATTTTTAAATTGGGTTATTTTTTAATTATTGAGTTGTAAGACTTCTTTATATATTCAGGATACCAGTCCCTTATCAAATATATGATTTGTGGCATACAGATTCATCTTTTGCTCTCTTGCTCCACTTTACCCCCATTAGGTTCCTCCATTCTAGCCAGACTGGGTTTTCTTTCTTTTAGCTTCCTTTTTAATGAAACATATACAAAAAGAGAGAATAGCCCTATGTAGCCATTACCCAGCTTCAACAATTATCAATTCATGGCTCTTTTTGTTTCAAACATTATTCCACTACCCCTTCACACACACTCTGGATTATTTTGAAAAAATTTCCTGATATCCTATCATTATCTCTGTAAATATTGTAGTAGTTATTACCAAAAGATAAGTACTCTTAGAAATACCATTATCACATCTAAAGACTTAACATTATGAGAATCTTGTTAGACTTTTGTTTTTATTGCCCTCATACATTTTATTTTTCTAAGTCCTTGGCTTCGTGTTAGCTCTTTATTTCATGTGCTTTTCTTCTTAATCTATGCCTATCAAAATTCTTCATGTCCTTTGTGACTTATCTGCATGAAGCTTACCTTTACTGATTCTATTTCCCTCATTTGAAATTTCCTATTTATTCTGTAATTATTAAATTCTGTAATTATGTGTAAAACACTGGCAATTCTTCAGTATTTACTGAATTTTGTCTCTTAAGACAGAAAATTTTTGATAGCAATTTGCTTTGTAATAGTCCTTATGGGTCTCAGTAGAGGAAATTCTGATAGTTTTTTTCCTTTCAGAGAAAGAAGATTTAATGTGGGAGAAGGTGGGGTCCCAGACATGATAGACTGAGCCTTGGAATGGTTACTGGAAATTAAAAGAATAGATAGGAACCAGAAAAGAGGATGTTGTTTTAGACATGCTGCTCTCTGTTGTGAAAAACCTAATGCAAGAACCTGACCTAATGCAAGAACAAGACTCATAGAGCTGTAGGAAGCAGTTAGCTAGAAGATCAGAGATAACTTTGGGGAAGGTAGTGTAGGGGCTTTTTGCCCAGGAAAGAAGGCTGGTTTTAGGACAGTTTTATGACTATGTCTAAAATAAAGGTTACGGTTAGGATTAGTCCAGATTTAGGTATCTTTACAAGGGTGTGTGTTGTTACCTGCACCTGAGAAGTATAGGGGACCTCAGGGTCAAGAGAATTAACACTAATGAGTTCTGAAGGAGGAGTAGTTAGTGATACATTGTCTGGGAGTGACTGAATGCCTCTGGCTGGGATCATAGGTCAAACTGGCAATGAAACTAGAAGAAAATAAACAGGTTTACAGATAAGGTTATCTCTAAACAGCTTATTTAATAGATAACAGGTTACAGATTATAAGAATGCACTGTAATTTATCTAGTGTCCTATTTAGTTTGCACTTTGAAGTTTCCTCGTACTATTTTAAAGTCAATTTTGTTTTTTATGTGACCAAACTGAACAAAATGTTTGGTGAGTAGGGACTTGGAAGGAAGTCAAAGACAGGGTTTATAATGTGCAGCTGGAATTTGGCGTCAGAAAACCTGGGTTCTGTTTACCTTGACTAGGTGGCAAGGTTCTTTTTTCTTATTAGTAAGATGGACACGATAATATTTTCCTTATTTCCATTGAAGAATTATTAGAGTTGAATGATTAGTGTATACAAAGGCACTTTGAAAACTTCAAACTAGGTTGTAAATTGTCATGAAATAAAGGTCTTAAGGACAATATCTATTCACTTGAGCAATAGGAGAAAAGTTTCTAGCAACTAGGCAAAATGGGAAATGACAAGTGTGAGGGGCTTCCTTGGACCTATTTAAAACCTTTTTCTTAACATTGCAAGCCCTGGGAGAGTTGAAATGATTGAGTGTCTTTAGATATGTGTGTAGTAGAATATCAAAGATTATTATTCCTATTTCTGTTTCAGAAGACCTGGACGGAGCTGGAGGAGAAGAGTATCCCATGGATATTTGGCTTTTGCTGGCCTCCTACATCCGTCCTGAGGACATTGTGAATTTTTCCCTGATTTGTAAGAATGCCTGGACTGTCACTTGCACTGCTGCCTTTTGGACCAGGTTGTACCGAAGGTGCGACCACAGAGAACTCACTCCGTTATCTGTGTAGCTGATTTAATTGCTGTTTGTGATTTGGAGCTGCTCACTGGATGATGACCTCTTTGTACTTTTTCTGTTCCATGTCTGGGCATGACCCTAACTTTGGACTCCTTGAGCCCCTCTCTAATTTAAATTTGATATTACTATTTATCCAGTTATCTGTCTTCCCTGTGGTTGCTTCCTTTCTTACTTCCCAGTATCCACTTCCAGCAAAAAGTTTTGCATCAGGTGTCAGAAGGAACTGTCTTGACTCCTTAGAGGTTTATTTTAGCTAGAATGTTCAAAAGCTACAGATGCCAGTCTGCTTATCTTTCCAACTAGATTAGTTGTTTCTTGGATTTGCTGGTCATCTTGAAGTATCATAGTTTTAGTGTTTGTGCTGTCCTATGTATAGTTGTAGTGGTGAGGAGTGAGTAAATTATATGATTAGTAAAAAGGCTAGCTTTTGATGCTTGGTGTGGATGTATGGTGGATATTGTAAACTGTCAGTAAAGCTGTGGTGGGAAGGGGTGTTGAAGTAGGAGTAGAGAACTTGCTGAGACATCTGACAGGAGAACCTGATGGCTCTTCTCCAGTACAGGTTCAATTTCAGCAAGTAAAGTATATTCTACTGGTATCAATTCAGAGAGCTGCTTTTTTGTATAGTGAAAGAGTGAGGATTTAACCTTTTAAAATGGACGGAGAAGTATAGGATTACAAGGCAAAGAAGCAGAAGTTGCTGAGAGGTTGAGATGGTGATTTGTCTACGTATGAGCACTGAAGACAAGCTAACTACTGGCCTGTATAATAGCGCAGTAGAGTTCATACAGAGACCAAGACCTACAGCTGGAGAGACAGGTCACATATTGGTAGGAGTAATGTGTCCTGTTTCAGGCACTACACGCTGGATGCTTCTCTGCCTTTGCGCCTGCGACCAGAATCAATGGAGAAGCTGCGCTGTCTCCGGGCATGTGTGATCCGATCTTTGTACCATATGTATGAGCCATTTGCTGCTCGAATCTCCAAGAATCCAGCCATTCCAGAAAGCACTCCCAGCACATTAAAGAATTCCAAAGTAAGTGAGAATTAGTGTTGGGGTTTGACTAATGGACTCTTGTATGGTGGGCCTGTTACTATGGCTTGTCTCCAGCTTCTTTGATGGGGAGGGCTATAGGTCCCAGGCTGCTAATGGCCTAATGTAAACTTCAGGGCTCAGAGCTTTCACTTCTCCAAGACATTCCCACTATGCTGCTCTGACTTATCTTTATCTTAAAGCTTTCTTGTGCTTTTAGTGTATTCCTTATTTTTTTATTTTAATTTATTTTCACGCATTGTACATTGGACCACTTCAGATATAATGGTTTTGATGGTTTAGGCTAGGAAGAGTACAACTCAAATGGTAGCTATATGCTATAATTTTTAAAAGGTACTTTCAATCATGGTACAAAGATATAATGTGAACAACTCACTAATTTTTTTAATGTGACCTTGACATCTGAGATTCCCCTTTATTGAACTCCTTAAAGGATTCTCGTGTAGGCTTTACTTCTTTAGCATTTACTAATTGCCCTGTGCCAGCCTGTTGCCAGGCTCTGTAGTAGGTTGTCTCAGAGATTATAAGGTACTCTGATTCATAGACCTTAGTTCTCTAAAATTCTTCCTGTGTTTTAGGCTATTTTAAATTCAGGATTTCTCCAGTATTTTATACTCCTACATTATATTCAAGTTTCCAGCATTCTTCTGATTTATAAATAGGTCTGCTAGCCTTTGGTCCATTCTCTCTTTCCCTTACTGAAATCTAGACTAACATAGCAGATATGATTATTTAGGCAAGTTGATGTCTCAGCCCTTTTCTATTCAGGTGATACCATTGTCTAAATTTCATATCTTCGAGTTTCTAGATAATTTTTATTACTCTGTTTCTACCCACAATCTGATGTTCTATAGTACTTCTCATTCTCTTATACTTTGTTTTTATGGTAACGGACATTATATAATGATTCTTTTCCCTTAGTTTAGCTCTAGTGTGATAATATTCTACCTGATACATATTAATTTAAAAGGGTACTATTGATTTCAAGATTATCAAGATCTCCCCCCCCCCAGGCGAGGTGGTCAGGGCCATTGGCTGAGCTGTATGTAATATCATGCTAGCTCATGGATTTAGGGCAGGAGTAGAATGCTGGGAGAGTAGGATTTCACCCGGCAGCTGCTTCTGCTTGTAATATGAGTGTACAGTGTATCACCTCACATTTACAGTGTCCCTCTCCCCAGAAACATTTGATAGTATCAGACTAACTGGTGAGGGTGGGGATCATCCCTAAGTTAGTCATGCCAGGAGTGAAGCAATTGCTGGGAGCAGAGCAGCATTGGGCAAACTCCTCATGCTTGACACATCTTAGCGGCTCCAGTGCACAATGCAAGTGCTACTGCCTAAATTCTAAAATACCCATACCTTTATGTCCCTGTCACTGTATATTAATTTTTTGAAGTGGACTATATAAAGCCAAAGTGCAATGAAAACTAAGGTCTTCACCCAGATAGTAAGCCCAGGCCATGTGGCTGCTGCTTTTGTGCCTTGGTAGAGATCTTCTGAAGAGGATGTGGGACCTGCAGTGGCAGGTGTCCCATGCATGGCCTTGCCACTTGTATACCCACAATCGCATGGCATTCAGGGAGTTGCCAGCATGCCTAAAGGAAGTCCCATGTTCCTAGACTCCAGCTTTTCGCATTTGATTCCCCCCTCTCTCTCTTTTCAGTAGCATAGCTTGTGTGGGACACTGGAGCCGTTGTGATGGCAGCAGAAGTGTTTTCCCCTTAAAGCCAAGCCCATTAATTTTGATGGAACAGCAGGACGTACAGGGCATGTCTGAAGGGCAGGACAGCTGGCACGGCGGACGACCCACCCCTTATCCCCTGGGAGGTACTTCACTTCTTGTGCTTAACCCTAGCTGTAGCCTGACTTTCATTGAGGGGCTTACTCTAGACTAAATTCAGCCTAGCTCAGTCGTTTCCATACTGGCTGTCTGCTCCCAGAAAGTCCTGAGCAGTTTGCTTCTATTACAGGGCCAGCCTTCCCTGGCTGCCTTATGGTCTTGTTATCATCTTGCTTGGTGGCTACTAGCTGCCCTTACATTTTAATGTAGCGGACTGGCCTGGTGAATCAGAGAATGCCCCAGTCTCTACATACCATGTTTCTTTCTGTCTTTAAAGATGAGAACAATAGAGGTTAATGTCAGTAGACTTTGAGGTTGACTTGTACTGGTCCCTCTTCTGCTTACTAAGCAGCCCTGGGATTGTCTGTTTCCATGTTGCACCGGTGTCGAGTTGGGGGTCTATCTGAGCCAAAGTAAAATCTCCGCATTAAGACTGTGGCTGGCTTTAGAGCTGTCAAACAGAGGCTTTTGCTGATTATTTTTTATTACCTTATAATGTATTTTGATTTTTTTTCTTTTTTCTCAGTTTAGTTTATTTTTACTTTCTTACAGTGCTTACTTTTCTGGTGCAGAAAGATAGTTGGGAACAGACAGGAACCAATGTGGGAATTCAACTTCAAGTTCAAAAAGCAGGTATGTGGTCTTCTCTTTGTTTTTCAGGTAATATTTTGTTCTAATAGATGGGTGTCTTTCTTAGTCCGTTTGTGTTGCTATAACAAAGTACAGTAGACTGTAATTTATAAAGGACAGAAATTTATTTCCTCAAAGTTCTGGGTGTTGCGAAGTCCAAGATCAAGGGCCTGGTCTCTCTGTTTCCAAGATGGCCCCTTGTTGCATTCTCCAGAAAGGAGGAAAACTTTGTCCTTCCCTAGTGGAAGGTAGAAGGCCAAAAAGGGGCCAAATCCATTGTGAAGACTCTTTGACCATAATCCCATTCACAAGGGAGGAGCCCTCATAACCTAATTGTGTAGTAAAGGCCCCCTCTTAATAGTGTTGCATTGGAGATTAAGTCACAGCATGAATTTTGGAGGGGACACAAATATTCAAACCACAATACTAGGCATGAAAGTGGCTTATTAAAATCAAATAATGTGTTTCAGAACTTATAGTACATGTTGAGCATTCCAAAAACAAAAATGCAAAATCTGAAATGCTTTAAAATTTGAAACTTTTTGAGTACTGACAAGACACTCAAAGGAAATGCACATTGGAACATTTTGGATTTCAGATGCTCAACTGGTATAAGGCAGATTTTCCAAATTTTTGAAAAAATCCAAAACACTTCTGGTCCTAAACATTTTGGGTTATGAGGTTATGAGGGCTCCTCCCTTGTGAATAAGGGATATTCAACTTGTAATGCCATGAAAAGAAAAGGAAGGAAGAACTATTCTATATTGAAAGACACAAAGATAACCACTTACTGTAGAGTAAACCTTGAATGAATCCTAGATCAGAACAAAGAGCCTGGCCAGGTGCAGTGGCTCATACCTGTAATCCTAGCACTCTAGGAGGCTGAGACAGGAGGATTCCTCGAGTTCAGGAGTTCAAGGCCAGCTTGATCAAGAGTGAGACAAACAAATTTTCTATACAAAAAAATAGAAAAATTAGCTGGGTATAGTGGCATGTACCTGTAGTGCCAGCTACTCTGGAGGCTGAGACAGGAGGATTGCTTAAGCCCAGGAGCCCAGGAGTTTGGGGTTGCAGTGAGCTACAATGATGCCACTACACTCTAGCCAATCTAGCTAGGGCTACAGAGTGAGACATCTGTCCTCCGCCCTGCCCCCCCAAAAAATAGAACTATAAAAGACATTTTGGGGCAGTTAAGGAAATTTGAATTTGAATATGCTGTGGAAATTACAAATAATTTTCTTATGTGTGATAATGATGTTATGGTTATGTGTGAGTGTCTATTTGTGATGAATTATTTAAGGATGAAGTATAAATGTTACTTTCAAGTGACTTTGCACCCCTTTTCTTCCAGAGTGTGTATGATTTTTATATGTGTGTTTAATGGGGGGGATTAAATATGGCAAAATATCCAATGATAGAGTGTATATAGAAGTTTATTGCACTAATTAATTAACTTTTCTGTATATTTGAAGACTTAAAAAATGACAAAAAGGGGAAAAACTTACTGTACCAATATACTGAAGTTATTTGCCTTAATTTTGTTGCTGCTGTTCAAACCTAGTGTATTTGTAAACAATAATTTATATAGTCTTATGTTTGAGGTAATTTGGGGAAACCATGAGGAGAGGGATTGCAAAAAAGGCTTTTAATCTTTAGTAGCCTCTTTTTTTTCACTTGTCATCTCTACTTATTATGTCACTGATGAGACACATTATAAATACAGTTAGTTATCTCTCAACTGATGGCAGGTGGGCTACTGATAAGTTTATAATTGAAGTAAACCGTATTTTCATGTTGATTTATTTCAAAAACGGGTGTAAGGAGGAATTTTGGCACTGGTATTTTGTATTTAATAAGATCCCCCAAATCTGTGATATACATTAGACATTAGTAGAAAGTTCACAGAGGACCTTTCTGGAAGGGACTGAGGGCAGTCTTAGCAGTGGTGAAATGTGACAAGGAGAGACCAGGATTACTGCTGGAAAGGGAATGCAGAGATTTCCTTTAGTTCTGAGACTTGTGACTCCTTTATTTTATGGTGCCTAGAATTAGGCGGCCACTTCTGCTTCCATCCCTGTAGTGCAGCAGGTGTTCCTTGGAGTTTGACAAGTTATAAGGAATTTGTAATCTTTCAAACATTGGATAGCCTCTAATAGAGACTATTAGTTTCCATTTTTTATCAGATGGCAAGGAGTACCATGTAAATGAAGCATAAACCCATTGCCATATTTGCTCATTCAAATATATTTCTGATTTTTTCAAAGGTCAGTTTTCTTTGATCTCTGTATAGAAACTGATATGTATATAAAGAGAGAGTAAATAACAGAAAGAGTATATCTTGCTAGCTTTAGTTGAGCCATAGGATTTTCACTGATGGAGAATTAGAGCCATATACATTTCTTCTAAGCCAGTGGTCCCCAACCTTTTTAGCACCAGGGGCCGGTTTCATGGAAGATAGTTTTTCCACAGACTGGCGATGGGATGGGGTGTCATGGGGTGGGGGTATGTGATGTGGAGCTTGGGTGGTGATGCACAGCCTGTTTCCTAAGAGGCCATGGATCGGTAATGGGTCATGGCCCAGGGGTTAGGGACCACAGTTCTAAGCCATTAGATTATTTCTCAGTTCTCTTCAGTCCCCTAGGTTAAAGAGCAAGTGTATGGGAGGATTACAGCCTCCCATTCAGTATGAAGATGTTCATACCAACCCAGATCAGGACTGCTGCCTACTGCAGGTCACCACCCTCAATTTCATCTTTATTCCAATTGTCATGGGAATGATATTTACCCTGGTAAGTAGAGACTCAGGATGTCATCCTCAGCTCTTTTATAGACTCTCATTATATGTAAGATTTGATAGAGATTTATAAATTTAACCATTAAGGGGAGAAATCTTTGAAGAATAATAAAAATAAGTCTGAAATCAGACATGTGTATTAGGAACAGACAGATTTGTGGAGATGTTGATTCTGTCTGAGAATGTTTTACCTCTTTTAACTTCTCTGTAGGACAGGGAATGTTTTTATATTTTCATGTGTAGTGATCATTAATGATTGAGAAACATTATCCTGTTAGGAATAATGATGAGACATATATATGAGTGCTGTATGTCAGGACCTTGAGGCATATATACGGGGTTATAAATGGGATAGTAAAACATAGGGTGACCAGCTCAGCTCTGTCCTTTGTGTGATGCTGTCACTGTTCAATGCCTAGCTGAGAATTAGATTAGTAAACAGTGTATGTGCCTCTGGCATATTTTTTCCAGGTTTTAAAAAATTTTTATTGCGGCCGGGCGAGGTGACTCACGCCTGTAATCCTAGCACTCTGGGAGGCCGAGTCGGGCAAACCAGCCTGAGTGAGACCCCGTCTCTACTATAAAAATAGAAAGAATTTAATTGGCCAACTAATATATATAATATAAAAATCAGCCGGGCATGGTGGCGTATTCCTGTAGTCCCAGCTACTGGGAGGCTGAGGCAGGAGGATCGCTTGAGCCCAGGAGTCTGAGGTTGCTGTGAGCTAGACTGACGCCACGGCACTCACTCTAGCCTAGGCAAGAAAGCGAGACTCTGTCTCAAAAAAAAAAAAAAAAATTTTATTGGATTGGCAGCTGGAGAGTTCATGTAATTTGTCTTTTCTGTATTTTAGGCTTATATTCAGAGATACATGGGGTTCCCCTTCCACAATGAAAATAGCTTTTTTTAATGGTAAAATAAAAAAATGCATGCTTCATGTAAAGAATTTAAATAACACATAAAATATATTGAGAAAGTGAAGGTGACTTAGACTTCCACTATCCTATAACTGAAATTAATCTTTTGGGAACTTTTCTTTGTATGTGTCTGTTAATATGTACATACCCACTCTTTTAAATAATTTTGTATAATTGAGATTATGTCATACATACAGTTTTTATTATAAGTACCTGTCTCCTCTCCCTAGGTTAAGACACCTTAATGACCTAGTTATATACTTACACGCCATGTATTTCATACTCCTACAATTCTATACTGACCCACCTACACACACACACATACACATTTAGAGATTTTGTGTTTTATTTTACAAAAAAATCAGATCATATTTATGTTTCATGCATCTTGCTTGACTTGCTTAAGAATGTCTCATCAAAATCCCTTTAGGCTGTCTCTTACTGCTGCGAGCCAATTTTAAAATATTGGCTCTGATGATAGTCTATGTACATGTATCTTGATTTATTCATCCATTTGTGAGGCTTTCTTAGAATAGTTTAAATATATGAAGCTGAGAAGACCTTATAAAATCATCCTTAATTTTTTATATCTTTACACAGGTGTTGGTGGTATAACTTAGAGATTAATCTTGTGGTCCAGCCAGTGTAAAGTATGTCTGTACTGTTTCATTTCAGAATGAGATGTTGGAAACCAAGGTTGTGTGAGTTGGTTACTGAATTTGCTTTTCCCTTTCAGTTTACGATCAATGTGAGCACGGACATGCGGCATCATCGAGTGAGACTGGTGTTCCAAGATTCTCCTGTCCATGGTGGTCGGAAACTGCGCAGTGAACAGGGTGTACAAGTCATCTTGGACCCAGTGCACAGTGTTCGACTCTTTGACTGGTGGCATCCTCAGTATCCATTCTCCCTGAGAGCATAGTTACTGCTTCCCATCCCTTGGGGGCAGCCCTGAGTCTAGTCCATTAGTAATCAGATTCCAGTTTGAAAGGGGCAGCTGGATTGTATATTTGATTAGTAATGTACATGCTCAGGTTGCTGGGGCTCCTGTTAGGGGAGGGAGAAGTGTTGAATCAAGAAGAAAAACAACTATGATTTATAAACATATTTTAATGTAAAATTTGCATTTGAAAGGAGTGGCCCTGTTTTCTGTGTTAAAACCCCATTTGGTGCTATTGAGTTTGTTCTTTATTCTTTTATCCCAGCGAAAATGGTTGATCTTGCTCTAGGGAAAAATTAAACTCTTAAATCTGCAAACAAGGAAGTTTCAGCATTCCTTTATGGATCAGAGGAACTTTAGAGGTCTATAATTGTTACTCCTGTTGCTTCCAATTTAGCTGCCCCTCAAATTCAAGTGAATATTTTATCTTCTCTCTTTACCCTTCTCTAGAAATAAAGCAGGTGACAGGGTTTTCAGAATCTTACAAGATTGACTTGTGTATCTTTTTTAAAAAATAATTTTTGGATATTTATTGCATACGTATTCTTTTGCCAGTTTTGAATTTTAGGTATTTTTTTGCATGAGGCTGATACTGCTGATGATGACTTTGTACCCTTGGTACTAGGAACTTTACATAGTATCTCTCATTCTCAGTCTTGCAAGGAATGATTTTTTGGTTGAGAAAACTGAATGAGTGACTGTACTCATAACACCAGTAAATGCAGAGCCAGGATTGCAACCCAGGTCTTTCGTTAAAACCACAATTAAAAAGATCAGTCTCATTTTTCTTGTGGTAGATGGTGGTAAAAGGGAGTAGGTAGAATGTGTACATAAATAAAAAAGGGTGAGTAAAAATTTGATTGTGGTATACTTTATCCCTAATCAGCCTAAAAAGTATCTAAGATTGATGAAAACTCTTTTAAATATGTGTTTCTAAGTTAAATGTAAAACAAACCAAGAAAGTTATTTCAAAATAGTGGTACTTTCATTGAATTGTTAGAAAGGCATTTATTATGTTGAAGATCATTAAAAAAATGCATTGCATGTTGAAACCAGCCTCTTGAACCATAAGCGCTTAGTTTAGTGACTTTGCTCTGCCCCGCGCTGTGCTGCTTCTGCTGTCATTCTGTGTGCCTACAGAAGCCTGGCCTTTCATCCATGCAGAAATGCTAATGTCCTCCTGTTGGTCAAATGACTTGCTATAGCTGGTGTACTCTGAGAAGAGGATCATGGGTGTTTTTTGTTTGCTAAGAAGATAATCTTGCTGCTTGTCCCTCCTCCCACCCTCCAGATTAACCAATGAGCTGGATATTAGTTGGATATAGCCAGGAGGTGGGCATTAAAACAGTATTCTTTAAAAAGGAAAGTCTTGTGGGGGAAGTTACTGTGAGCCAAACTGCTAAATTAGCTTGTTTTTCCTTACTATCTTCCCCACCGTCTGCTATTTAAAGAATATTCTTAGAAAGCATCTGCTTAATACTGCTACTAACAGCTAACCTTACCCCACATTGAGGGTGGTATTAAAGCTGTTCACACAGAGAGTGTGCCTGGATCAGTGAAAAAATTTGGGCATTTAAGTGATAAAACAACCTGAGGACAATAAGCACCTTGCAAATCTGTAATCAAAAGTTGCCTCTTTGAGGCAAGAGGAGAGAAGCACAGAATCCTTAGTTCCCTGGACGAAAGATGCCATGCAGTAGAAAGGAGTTGTCCTGGTGCATTGTATATCTCCCATTTAGGAGTTACTTTTAAAAAGGGAGTGAAATAAATTTGGCTTAATTATTGTATTCTGACTCAACTCTGAGTTTTTGTGTCAAACGCCTTGCTATGATGACAGATACAGTCTTAGGTATTGCCTCAGCTCTTTCTTAGCAAAATATTGCCAAACACTTGGTAAAGTATGTTATCAGTGGTTATCATGGCTGCTGCCTTCCTCTACCTTGGCTTAGCTGCCTTGTCTAGCATGATTCGTATTAAGGGAGACATGATTAGTAAAAGGATCTAAAGTGTCTCAGGAATTTCCTTTTGGTGAGAACCCCAGACCACCTGGAGAAGAGTTGGAATTTACTGGACTACATGTTAAAAACTGCTTTATAATTTTCATTTCCTTAAATATATACTATGATTTTGGTTTGAGGGTCAAACAAAATTCAGTTGACCCTTGAACAACACAGGGGTTGGGTGCAGAGTCCTGCACAGTTGGAAATCTGAGTATAACTTTTGATTTCTCCAAAACTTAATAGCTTACTGTTGATTGGAAGCTTCACTGATAATATAAACTGTTGATTAACACATACTTTGTATGTTATATGTATTATACACTATATTCTTACAATAGAGTTAAGCTAGAGAAAAAATATTACTAACAAAATGGTTAAGGAAGAGAAAACATGTTTACTGTTCGTTAACTGAAAGTAGATCATCATAAAGGTCTTCATCCTTGTTATCTTCATGTTCAGTAGGCTGAGGAGGATCAGGAAGAGAGAAAGGGTTGGTCTTGCTGTCTCAGGAGTGGTGTAAGAGGAAGAAAATCTGCATATAAGTGGATATGCAGAGTTCAAACCTCTGTTGTTCAAGGGTCAACAGCAATACATATTTAGCTTCCATTCTCACCCCTGCTGTGCCAAATGGTGACTATACTGGAGGAAAATAATAAATGAAAGGTTATGTGTGTCACTGATCTCCACTATAGCATTTGCTGCTGATATAGAACATGCTGTGTGTATATCTATAAATACATACATATGAACACATTGCATGTATATAAAAATTCTTCACACTTCTATCAGTGCTTACTGGGTATTGGTAAAGGATTGAGTAGGCACTGTGATGAAACTTCACAAACCAGCTGGGAAAGATGCATTAATAGCCACAGGGGACAGGGTAAGGGAGCAATTCAGGAAAATGGAGAGGTTTAGCTAAAATTTGTCAGGAATTTTGGCATTTGAGACTGTTTTCATACTATGTATATATAATAGACGAACACTTCATTTCATAGTAACAGTGTTAGAACAGCCAGGTGCCTGGAGGCATGCGGCACAATTCCCCGAAGTGCCTACTACTACAGAACTGTATTTGGGTCTCAAGTTTCTCCACTTAAAAAAATCGGTGCGCCCAAAGGAAAAGCCACGAATGGGTGGGAGAGAGCAGGTGTGAAAGGTGACAAACCATCAGCCACAATTACAAGGCCTGGACCGAAGCCAATTTAGGGAACAGGTTGCCAGACTTGGAACCGGGGGAGGTCAAAGGAAGGGGCAGGATGGGCGCGGCACTCTGGGGCCAGGAGGCCTTACTCGAGGCCGGGTAAAACCCTGGCACTCCGCCTCTTCGTCGGACTCTCGAGGCCGAACCAAGATGGCGCGCAGCCTCAAAGCGGCGCCCCTGTCACGTGCCAGGGCCGGAGAGCGCCGGGGGCGGGAGGCGTGGCCTCGGGAGAGGCGGCCAGGCCCCGCCCTCGGGGGCGGGCCCGGGGCGTCCGCGGCGGGCGGGGGCGGGGCCTGGCGGCCGGGCGCTCGGGCGGCTGAGGCTGCAGCTACCTCGGCGCCGGCCCGGCTCTCTAGGACGTGTCCGGCTGCCCGGGTCGGGGGCGGCTCCCGCTGCCTGCGAGCCCGGCTGCCCGGCCTTCGGCGACTGCAGGCAGGTGAGCGCCCGGAGCCTGGCCTGGGGGAGAGATGCCTCTTCCCCGCGTCCAGGTCTCCTCAACAGTTTGGGGAGGGGTCTGTGTAGCGCGCCTGGGGAGCAGCCCGTCTTTGCTCGGGGTGTGCTGTCTCTCTCTGGCGGCGTCGGGACTGCCCCCTCCGCCGCCCCGCGCCGGCCTTCGCGGTGCCCCGTGCCCTTGGGGGCGAGGGTGAGGGGCGATGCCGGGTGTGCGGGGAGGGCGTGGAGTCCGCCCCATCGGCTTCGGGGGCGGGGGCCGAGTCGGCGCGTCCCCGCTGGGAGCTGGGCGGACTGCGCCCCCATTCCCCTGCAGGAGAGTCTGGGGAAAGCGCCTCCCGGCTGCCGGGCCGGCGCCGCTCCTCTGGGCACGCGCCTCTGAGGGGCTGAGGTCTTCGCGCTTCTTGGGGGTCTCGGGCCTTCCCGCGTTCCTCAGCACCCCCGGTTGCTATCGCTGGCTCTCCATTCCTCGAACTGCCAGCCTCAGCCTGTGCCAGAGATGCCACCGTCTCCGCAGTGCCAGGGCGGTGGGGTGGAAGGAGCGGGCGGCCAGCCCGAGGCCTGGTGGGGGTGGGGTGGGTGGGGGTGGGCGCAACAGGAAAGAGACGCTGGAATGGAGATGCCCGAACTGGGAGGGTGGGAGTGCCGAGCTGATTTACGTCCACGCAGTACGGATGTTTCCCAGCACAGATCTTGAGGTTGCGATGGTGGGTGGGAAGAGAGAGGTCAGGCTGGAGGACTTGGAAACGTGGTGTGTGGATGGTTTTCTTTGAGGGAGAGGGATCCAGGACAAGGTGCCACTAGGAGCTGATGTCACCTGGTAGTTTCCATTAGATGGTAGGGGAGTTGGGGCTGTTCTGCTCTTCTGTGTGGAAGGCAAGAGGTTAAGGAGGCTCTGCTTAGCGTGGTCATCTCCTCCTGGTGTGATCTTAAGGGGCCTCTCCAGGAGCCAGGTTTCAGGGACTTCCCATAGCCCTTTCCAGAGTTGTTGGAGCTGCACCTAATACTTTCAGCATCCAGCAAACATTTATTGGATACCTACTGTATGCCAGATGCTATGCAAGGTGCTAGGTCTTCTGAAGGCAATTTAGGGGCCCTGGAGCAGCTAAAAGATATACGTAGTAGGCAAATGTTGTAGGTATACTGTTAACACCCTCCCCCATCTTGTTACGTTGCTATTGGATTAGGAAAAGAAAGAACTGTGTCCACATGCTTTCAAACAGCTGTTGGAACCAGATTCCAACCTAGCACCCGCTACCACTATTAACTGGCCAGGTAGTCCCAGGGAAGCTGCCTTAGCGAAAGGGACAGCTTGGTTATTTTCTCAGCCTGAGGAGGCTTCCTGGGATAACTGGTGTCTCAAAGTGATGAGATCATGAATAGCACAATGGTTACTGGGGGCCAAGAATGCACTAGACACTCTGCACAGTGGGAGACGCCATTTCTGGAAGATGGAAGTGTGTGGGAGAGGAGGGTGTGGAAGGGAATTCTCATCTAGTGGTGTCTGGGTGTGTGCTGCTGAGCATGGCATGATGTCAGAACCGTGGAGCGTATGAAGTCTGGCAGCTGGGTTGTAAAGGAGGGACGGGAGGGGCGGGGCACGGCAGGCAAGCTCCTGGGTCCCTAATATGAGTGGACTGCTGAAGTCTTAGAGTTGGAAAGAGTTGTCAGGCATAGCTTGTAGGTCCTTCCTGAGCCTCCAAGGATAGCAGGGCTAGAGCTAGGTGAGAGGATGAGTAGTTGGGCTGTGGTGGTGATGAGGCAGGGGTGAAAGCCCGGTGGGGCCAGGGAGCTGGGTACCAAGGAGGCTTGAAAATGGGGGGGAGCTAGCAGAGGCCTTTTAGTGCCCAGGGGTTCTTTGGGCCTTTATGTGGTGGGTTGGTAGGTGGGTTGCTGTAGAAACAAGGTGTGGTGACTGGGTGGTATAGAAGTGTGTGTGCATGGACTGGAGAGGAGGGGTGGAGAGGAGCCAGAGGACTGAGGGAGTGAAAGCTGCCCCAGAGTCTGGGTCCCAAGTAGGGAATTGGGAGAAATGGAGGGGACGGGGGTGGGGTCAGAGGGAGGAACGAGTGTGTATTGCAGCCACATGAAGTCACCATCTGTCCCCCTCTGGCCTGCTAGCTCACTGACCTATAATTAGCTCTGGAGGGCATACGGTGCTGGCTCACAGGAGCGTGGCGCGTCGGGTGGCTGGCAGAGTAAAGAGTACTCAGAGGGGCTGTGGTCCTTGGTGTACTCTGAAAGGGGCTGCTTCTAGGGGACCCTCTGCATTTGCTGTAGTGGGAGGGGCCTGAGGGAACTGAGAATGTCAGGGGGCAGGGCTTATTGGGGGGAAGGAGCTCTAGATGAGGATGGTATGAGACTCCAAGGCTGGGCAGAGCCTGAGGACTCCCCTCTTGTCCTCACCTGGCCGCTGGCTCATGGCACAAGCAGCACAATTGCTGCCCAGTTCATTGCTTCAGAGAGGCCTGGGTGCTGCAGTCTCGGGGCCTCCCTCAAGTGTCTTCTGTTTCCCCAGGTGAAGTCAGCGCTAGCGTGGAGCAGCTGCCTGCCTTTCAGTCGGGGGCTGCTTCTTTCTGAGAGAGCTGGACGAGATGTTGCCACCAGTTAATTCAATTGGTCATACTCCAAGTGGTGCTCAGTGCTGACCTCCAGGCAGTGCCAGAGACTGAATATGTGGTCACATGCTGTATCGCTCTTGAGTGATTGCTGTGTATCTACATTCTCTCGAGTAGCCTGTGAACTTCCTGAGGGCTAAGATTGTATCTTACATGTCTTTTGTTTTCCTAACAGTATTGGATTCGAGGAATCACTCAGTAAGTGATTGTCGGGTTGAATTGAAGATGTCTGTCTTCTGGTCCCCTGGGTTTGATGAAGGAAGGCCTCCTTGCTACCAGAAATATTTAACCTGGAGCAGATAAGCCTCTGGGGACCCAGTACAGTGGTACTATGTCTCAGTGAGGGAATTAGATTCTATAGACAGTAGATGAACTTAACTGTCCTAAATCTCTCATAAAGCATGGTATATGGTAAATCCCAAACAATAATATGAATGTATAGATATAACACGTATATCTATAGTCTATATTAGTTATATAAATATATAATATATATTATCATACAGTGATTTAAGAAAGAGTACATATGCACAATATAATTTTGTAGTAAAGTGTCCGATGAAATAGCTAGCTTGCATTTAGAGGGTTTTATTGCCCAGCCAGTAGAGTTGAATTCTCATAAATTAGATACATATCTGATATACCTTCATGGCCATTGTCTTCGGTTAGATAACAGTCATTTCAAAGGGGAGATAGGTTTCCATTCAATTTAAGAAAAAGCTTCCTTAGAACCATGAAGACTTCCTCATTTGGTAGTGAGCTCCTTGCTGCTGAAGGATCGTTAAGTAAAGACTGAGCTGCCAGGGATGCTGTGGAAGGAACTCCCACACGGGGTGGGAGGCTGGCCTGTGTGACCTCTGAGAGCCCTTCTGAGTAGAAATCTACAGTTGCAGGTAGGGGTGGGATGGGGTGGGCACAGGATGGTAGAGGTACCACACACGTTCACTGTCATGACTGCATGCACACGCACATGCATTCTCCTGACCACAGTCATGTGCAGTTGTGAGCCCTGACCTGTACTTTGAATCACACACCTCCATATGTTCTCAAGGCTGTACACACCCATTCACTCTCATGCACATACTCTCAGGACCCCGTTCTTATGACCATAGTCTTACATTCTCCCTCTCTTCTCTCTCTTCTTTTTTGATGACAACACATACACACCACGCATTCTCACGATCACACACATACTCCATTGCATGAATACACATGACCTCCCTCCCCGACATTCTCTTTTTCATAATTACATACACACACACACAACTTTTGTGATCACATACACGTGCAGTTTTTTTTCTTTCATCTTTTTTTTTTTTGAGATAGAGTCTCAGTTTGTTGCCCGAGCTAGAGTGCTGTGGTGTCAGGCTAGCTCACAGCAACCTCAAACTCCAGGGCTCAAGCGATCCTTCTGCCTCAGCCTCCCCAGTAGCTGGGACTACAGGCATGCGCCACCATGCCCGGCTAATTTTTTCTATATATTTTTAGTTGGCCAATTAATTTCTTTCTTTTTTTTAGTAGAGATGGGGTCTCGCTCTTGCTCAGGCTGGTTTTGAACTCTGGACCTTGAGTGATCCTCCTGTCTCAGCCTCCCGGAGTGCTAGGATTACAATCGCGAGCCACTGTGCCCGGCCCACATGCAGTTTTTATGATGCCTACATTTCTCCCTGTGGTTCTGTGCTTTGGACCTTTTATACCCTTGCAGCTGTCAGCACTCCACATAGTCCTGCTTTCTGCTACATGGTGGCTCCCTAATCTCATAGGTTGATCTACTACTGCAGTGACTTCTGAGCAAGTATTTATTTTTTAACACCAGAGGACCCTGTTTAATATGTGTCCCACACAGACCTCTAGTTTTGACAGAGTTTTATTCTCCAAATGTGCTACACATATTGCTGTGTTTCTTCTTTTGCAAATGTGATTTGAGGACATTTGTGTTAATTAATAGCTCTGATTAGCAGAGAATGGCTGGGGTTACTATACTTAATGATGTGAGTTCAGCAAACGCCATGTTTGTGTTCAGTGGTGCAACCTTGTGTCTTGGCTTGGGTAAACATACGGTCTCTCTTCGCCATTTGGAATGTGGAGAGCAGTTGGAATTGTGAGGGCCCTGGTGTTGCTCGTGTGGCC